GAAACATATCCAAAAGTGTCTGTTCTGCTCTTGCTGGGCTCAGAAGGGGTCATCCTGGAGATGTTCGGAATGAGCGCGCTGACAAGAAAGGAGACAAAGGCATCACGAACCGCGAAACTGATAGGGACAGGCTGATCGCCACCCAAACTCCCCTCAATTTCTTCGCTAAGCGGTCTAGTGAGCCTGTCATTTCGAACCGGCCCAGCGAGTCGTCGAAAGTCGGGCCCCACAGTGGTACTGTCCAGCAACGTGGTAAAACTGTGTCTCTTGATGCAGCAGCTGGGGTATCTGGCAGTACTGGTGCGCAAGGGCTGCGGAATACTTCCGTTACCCCATTTCTTGATAAAGGAGTTGCTTTGCCCCGACAAGCATCCATCATGCGTGCGTGAATGGGTTTTATTTTCCGCCGAAAGTGTAGACAAAGTTTGTCGAAAAAGGAAAACAGTGTTTTCACTTGTGTGTGTGAGTTACACTAGACTAACTTTGCCGTGCAGCTTTCGGCTTGAAGTTGGATCTGTGATCCAAAAGTTTTTATAGAGTAGCTTGTAGTGCTCCGCAGCAGTGGGGGTCGTCAGCGACGACCTTCCACTCCCTTTAATATAACTGTCAGTGACAGTTATGGTTGACCAAGCAGCACGCATTTATGCGGCTGAGTCGCCAGAGGCGCCGTACCCTAGGAGGGACGGTGAGGAAAACAAGCTGGCAGCGCCACAATGTTTGCAAAGAGTGCGACAGTGTCGCTCTTGTCTTCGGTTTTTGCAGTGCAATCCGATATACGTGCTAGAGCACGCCATGCGTGAAGAAATGGCCCGATCGGCGCTGGAACCACCGTGAGTGGTAGAGACGCCAGCGGCGCACCAGTGCCCTCCGAACAGTGTTCGGATACAGTTTTGAAGGACCAGCGGTCCCTTCTTCTGCGCCAGTTTCACATAGGTGCAGAGCACAGTAGTGCCGGCACAGTCCGGCCACACAAGCCTTCTGCAGTCACCGGCCTGTCTGCGGATCGCAGAAGGCAGGTGCAGCGCATCTTCGCAGACGGGCTCAGCCCAGACTCGCACCGCGAGGTTGAAAAAGAACACCGCAGGTTGCGCGTGCACACAGACCTTGTAGGGCTGCAGTTTGTTCTTTCCTGGTTGGATTCACTCAAGTTTTCCATGACCTTGTAGGTCCTCTAGACGTTGCACATTGGTGCAGTGCCACCGTAGTCCGGCAGACAAGTGCTGCAGTGCGTGGTCGCCGCAGCCTTTAAGCCTCACTTCCCTCTCTGCCTCTCTCTCTCTCTCCTCTCCTCCCTCAGGACTGCCCGGGGAGAGTGCGGGTCGCAGCGCGTCGCTTGATTCCTGTTTTATAGAGACAGTGAGCCTCGATATCTGCGCTAGTAGCCTCGATTCGGCACGTTGCTTGTTCCGCAGCCGTTGGCTTGAGCAGTGCTCTTTTCCTTGTGTCAAGGATGCTGCCCCGGGGCAGCGCCCCGGAGAGTGATTTCAACGACCAGGTTAGTAACCTCTGGTCGTCAATTCCACGCAGAGCTGGTGCTCGTCAGCCGTGGGAATCGGCTTCATGGTTCGCACGTAATGCGAGCTGGCCCTGGGACCTGTCAGTGACACGTCCCGCTTCTGTGGGCCCCGTGCCAGTGCTGCACGAGTCGAGCCTGATGCTTAAGCGGAAAGCTTCCGCCAGCATCCAGCCGCTATAGTAGCGGAAGAGATGGCCTTTGCACTTAAGGTGTGTTCCCGTCGTACAGCGTACGAAGGCGATCGCCGTGACAGCGCTGTTTTTAAGCTCACCGCGTTGGTCAAAGCCTGGCCAGATGCCTTTGAGATCGTCTCACAGTGTGCCGACGAAATCGGTCGCGTCGACCTGGACGAGCTCGACTTCAGCATTGAGGCAGCGCTCAGTTACAAGGCTACCAACACAGTTGTGCGTCGCCTTAACTCTCTCAGCGGCTTTGTCCAGTGGGCAAACATGCAGTCCCCAGTGGTGGAGCCCTTTCCAGTGTCTCAGCGAGCTACTTGGCGATACATCCAGTGGATGATGCGAAATGGAAAAGGGGCTAGCAGCCCCTCGAGTTTGATTCAGAGTCTGAACTGGTGCTCGGGAGTCCTGGGCCTGTCCTTCGAGTCGGAGGTGACCAGCTCCCGTATCGTGGGCCTTTGCAAGAGCACTGAGGCCAGTGCGCCTCCGCCAAGAAGGGCTCCCGCTCTTAAGGCCTCAGAGGTGGCCACTCTGGAGCGCATCGCGCTGTCTGGGTCCATCTACGACAGTGTCGTGTCTGGGGGCCTGTTGTTCATGCTTTTCGCATGCGCCCGCGCCAGCGACGCGGCTCGGATTGCTTCCTTCTCCGTCGAGCTCCCGGAGAACCCCTGCGCCACAGTGTGGATGCAGGCGAACGTGCAGAAAGCGAAAACCGCCATCGGGGCTAGAAGCCGCCTGATGCTACCGCTGGTAGCCCCTGTGGTTTTCTTTGAAGAGTCGTGGGTGGGCCAGTGGCTTGCAAATCGCGACAAACTGGACCTCAGCTCCAGCGGAGAGATCCCGCTTGGGTCAGTGATCCCCGCCTTTACCTCAGACGGCGACCTAGCCGATCGCCCGATGAATTCACAAGAAATAACGTCTTGGCTACGCAGCGCGCTGTCCAACGCCCGGTGTGAAGGCGCAGAGCGCCTGAGCAGTCACAGTCTCAAGGCGACGTGCCTCACCTGGGCCTCACAGGCCGGCGTAAACCTGGACCTTCGCAGGCTCCTTGCCCACCACGTGCACGACAGTGCTCGGAGCACTGAGACATACAGCCGCAACGTGCTCATCCCCGCAGCGCGGGCTCTGGAAGAGGTTCTTATCGCCATCAGAGATGGCGACTTTCTTCCTGACCAGCCCCTCGGGAAACAGTTTGCGCTGCCTAGCAGTCAGCTCAACCTGAGGCGAGAGAACCTTAGCAAGGCCTCTCACAGGAAAACCTCCTCGGGCTCAGCACCCCCAGTGGGGGTGGAAGCCTTAAAGGTTTCGCAACAACAGGAGCTCAGTGATATCCTTCTCTGTCCAGGGCCATCGTTCTGCATTGCGCGGATTTTTTATGGGATGCTGGGCTTGTGCAACGGCCAGCAGGGGATGTCATCTGCACCACGGATGCTGGACATTATGTGTGCCATTGCGCGACTCAGTTCGACTGAGAAGCGGGGCATCTGAGCGAGGGTAGTGGCTTGAGGCCGAACATATTTGTCGAACGACCACTGCCGGCTAAGTCTGCAAGTCGCGGTTTGTCTCACCATCAATGTGTAGTCTTGTTTGCTTGTACAGATTGTGTTTGCTTTTCTTGTAGTTCTTACTGGGACCGAGGCTGATGCTCATGATGCTTGCCCGACTCTGTCGCCGTCACGAACACAGCATGCAGTGCTGCTTTATCCTCGGAGTCGGGGTGACGTTTATGATGCTCGCCCGCTTTTGCCGCAGAGAAGCACGGCTTGCAGCTGATGCTGCGCTCGACTGGCCATCGCTGGAACCGGAATCACGGCTGATGCTCATGATGCTTGCCGGACTTTGCCATCATCGGAAAGTGAGGCTTGCAACTGATGCTGGGGATTTTCGCTCGCTTGGATGTCGTCAGAAGACAGTGCCTGACGATGGTCATGACGTTGCCAAGCCAGCTTTTTGTGGCTGCTTGCTTTCCTGCTCGCAAGAATCCGGCTTGTTGCTCACCGCCGGTGCCGTCGCAGTGCAAAAACGGCCTGCGGCTGATGCTGATGATGCTGTGCTCGACGGGCCATTGTTGGGAATGGAATCACAGCTGATGCTCATGATGCTTGCCGAATTTTGCAACCATCGAACAAAACACTTGCAGCTTATGCTCGTGATGCTCGCTCTCTTGGTTGCCATCGCCAAAAACAGCTTTTCGTGGCTGCCTGCTTTCCTGCAGGTCAGTTGCCACAAGGATCCGGGCTGATGCCCATGTTGCTCGTGCGAGATTGCCGCCATCGTGAGCAATACTGGTCGCCTTTTCCAGAAGAATCCTGGCTGATGCTCGTGACGTTCTACCGTTTTTGCCGGCATAGTGCAGAACACGCTTTGCTGCTGATGCTGATGATGCTACGCTCGCGTGGGCATTGTTGGTAAATACCTCGTGGGTGATGACCATGAAGGCTTGCAGGACCATAGCTGGGAAGTTCAGGAAGCTGTTCCCCGATCCCAGCTTCCGTCCGATGTCTTAACACTTCCGAATCAAGTTTAATAGTAAGAGTAATATATCGTAATAACAATAATGGTAGTAGTAATCATAGTAGTAATAATATTAATAGTACTGATGCAGGCTAACCGTGAGCTGAGTGGCCGGACGTTGACGAGGACTCTCCAAAGCTTGGCGCGGTACGGGCATAAACCTTATTCGGGGTTGGGTCTAAAGTTAGGGCTGCATTCTGGGTTCTGTGACCGAACGCTGGTTCAATGGAACATTGAGGTATATTGTGTTATGGAAGGGCAGGGTTTACTGCAGTCAGTATATAGCCCAATACTCACTCACAACACAGCATGAGGCCGGATCTTAAGCCGCAAGATGAAGCCAGCTGTCTCTGCCCAGATGCACCTCCATGGAGTAAAATATACTATACTCTAACATACTATAACGTACTATAATATACTATCATATACTATCATATACTATCATATATTATAATGTACTATAATATACTATAATATACTGTCATCTGTTGATTGGTAAAAGGTCGGATTATTCTGCAGGCTTCGCATCCCACTTGACTGAAGAGACTTTGCAGTTCCAGGTCATGCAGCCCTAAGTCCTAGACCCCACGTACTGCCGAGGGGAGGTCTTGTTAGGTTCAATGCTCGAGCTTGGGAATTGAAGGAATCTTCTTTTGACTTTGAGCTGCCGATGTAGGAGTCATTCCGTACTAGCTTAAATTATAGTACAATACAGAATAATATACGATATTAGAATATACTATACTATAATATACAATACTATACCATAATATACAATACTGTACCGTAATATGCTATGCTGCATTATACTACAGCCTCGTCTCCTCACCTACTGGTGCTTGGAGAGGAGCTTCGCCAACGTAACTGTGGACGTGGGAGGAACAGCCATCTATTCCAGGAACAGGTACGTCTCCGGCTGCTAAGCGGCATCCAGGAACCAGCCATCATCCGTGATGCAGGATGAATCGGATGCTGAATCGGATGCAGTCCTCATGAGCTTAGGCAGTCTAGAAAAAAGGCATGTGGACTTAGAGGAATCTCAGATTGGAGTCTACGCATCTAGCAGTACCGCATCAAGAAAGTCGTCCTTAGACAGAAGCGCCGAATAACTTCCACTCAGCGCTGTCGCCAATGTGCGTTGTGACGATACTGTCTTGGAGGATCAGAGCGCAGGGGACTGCGCAGAAAGTCCAAACAAAAGACAATTAATAAAACGTCTATAAAGGGCCTTCTCCACCCCCGGCAACATGCCCTGCAAGAGCAGCAGCCTCGCAAGCCCCATAAGAAGCCTTAAAAACCAGATTCAGACACCCTCACAAAAATCAAAGCAACTCCTATACCCGAAGCCCTAAACACTAAACCCTAAGCAAGTCCAATTTGAGAGAGGTAGCAGGTAGCATTCTTGCACAACTGTGGGTTCTGATCAACCTAACGGGCGAAAGGAAAAGGCATTCAAAACAAAAGCAAGTCCAAGTTTTTCACCCTAAAGAAAGTCTTCCAAACGCACTGACGAAGCCCAGGCTTCGCCAAACACTTCGGACTGCAACCGCAAGCGGGGGACGTCCCCTGGGCCGCAAGGGCTGTAGTTTAGATAGTTTAGGGTGAGGGCAGGGTTTTAGTTTAGGGTTCTTGAGTTTATGGGTTTTAGTGTTTTTTTTGTTTGGGGGGCTCCTAGGGCGTACGTAGGGCATTTTCGGGTTTAGGATTTTGTTTCGGAGTTGGCCGTGTTATTTTCGATAGGTGCTCTGGGTTGAGTAATCATTTCTTTCGTGCCGGGGGTTATGAAGTACACTTACCGGGCCGCATCTTATCACCGTGCTGACTAAAGGTGCTTGACGCTTGGGGCAAACCTTGGGCACAGGGCCGCTTGTGAATAGTTGACTGGAGTATATTAGCTTCGTGGAATGGGGCACACCAGTGATTCTGAACATTGAATCCGCCTATAGCAAGGCAAAGTGGAGTTTCAATCCAAACGCATGTGCTTCTGGTTTAATCAAGGTTTCTGTAAACGTTTGTTATTGCAATCAACCCCCATTGTAATGATTAAGGGCTATGGCTCTATGCCATTCAATCCAAGGACGGCGTGAATTCGGACATCGGCATCTGGGATGGCAGCAAGTTTCGCGTCCAGGCCCGTCGGATGGACGCTCTTGGAGCCATTACATTTCCATTGTTTAGGATTTCGCGTTCATTGTCGGCGTGCGGAGTACCCGTTCATATCTCCGTCGAAATTGTCATGATAAACATCATGTTTGGCTGCGGACGCATCGGTTTCAAGATGCTTTGAGGTCGGAGTCTGAAGCTAAGTTACGAATGCCCACATAGAGCTCGAGGATAGGGGTACTTTAGTAGTATCATTTTATTATTAATTATAGTAGTATTGCTTTATTATAGTAGTCTGTGCCGAAACCACTCTTGGGTTTGAAGCTCCCTACAGGTTGACTCGGACAGCCGCCTGGACATGGGTGCCAACGTTCTATTCCGAGCCCGGGCCGTGAAAAGTTGCTCTCTCGATCACGGTTTAGGGTTTAGGGTTTAGGGGATTCATAACTGGAGTTCTAGATTCGAGGGAACTACACCTTTGCAGGAAGAGAAGCCTCAACACCAGGGTGACAGGCGCGACGAATATGAGGAGCCCCAAAAATACTTACCAATACTATTTTTGGAGCTCCTTATTATAATTACTAAATATGGTATATCATGGGCCCCCAAACCCTATTCTGATTATAAAGGCCCCTGTGTTACCAGCAGTTGGCAGCCTTCCAGCTGCAGTGGAGGGCCGTATCAGACATGTAGGGAGCTTTTCAGGAGGATTCCCGATACAGCAGGCCCAGTAGGCTTGATGCAGAATTACCTGAGATCCCCTCAGAACTTTGAGGACGCTATGGCAAGACGAATAGATTCAATGGATGAAAGTAGCCCAAACAAACAAGCTCTCGACCATGCACCTGCTTTTCCAATAAATCCCGCGTGCCGGAGCTTCAGGATATGGGTTCTCCCCTCTTCGCGTGATTCCTGCGGTTCGCAATGCTGTGGATGGTTTCGACAAAATCTACGACCTGCAAGAGGGGCAGAAGAGCTTCGAGACCCGGGCAGCGCTACTGGACGCCCTGGGCGTGTTCAACCTAACCCAGACGTCTGCTTATGACTTCTTCAAGAGTCTTGGTGGCTTGACTGCAGACGGATCCCAGCCTACAGAGTTGAAGTTGCTAGGAAGCTCCAGTATTAGCAGATGCGGCAGCGAACATTCTCGAGCGGAGCTGCCCCAAAACCCTAGTCCAATCATTAAGGCCCCTATATATATAGTTGTTTAACAACAGTGACTACCCACGTGTGCGAGGTCAGCATGAGACATGGATTGCACCCACTCAGGCAAGCTCAGGTGTAGAGGAGAAGTTCGTGAAGGAGATGGTCGACGGAGCTTCCCGGTGCAACTACAACCAGCCAGGCAAGTCAGCGTTGCCCGGGACTGTTGTGCATGTAGAGCTGCATCAGCAACCGCAGCCGTTTGCCGATTGTGGACAACCTCTGCCTGCTCAAGTTAGCCTCTTCATGCGGGCAGCACCAGCTCCCCAACCTTTGTGCATGCGTGCGCTAGCTGCTAGCAGGCTTGATGTCGTCACATGACACTCTGAGCTCGGGGCAACTAATATCAGCATGTCATGGTGCCAATGCTGATTCCATCACGTCACGTATGTGGGTCAAACTTCATAAGATGTTTTCCCTCTTGGCATGCTACTCATTGCTTAAGTTTCAGTTTAACTCTCGCTTCCAGTCTCAACACGGCTATTCTTCTGCCCGCTGTGCATGTTCGAGGATGATCACCAGCCGCACCGGCGGTAGCAGAATGCAGCACGACAGTAACCACCAACACCGCCCAGAAACAACCGAAGCAACAGCAATGTTATCAACAGCAGCATCGATGAACGTATCACATCAGTGCGCGACTGGCGTAATCAGTGCCGTTCAAGATTGCCTCTGTTCTAAAATGGTTGACCCGTCAAAACCCCATAAATCCTCACAGAACACTTGTGAAGCCCCTGAGCCTTCAACTTTATGGCGCCAACGAACCGCAAACTTCTAAGCGCCTAAGGGCCTAAGCGCTGAACCCCCTTCAACACACCAAAGCTCTAAGCAAAGATGCACCCAAGTCTTTTTTTTTTGCTGCAGCCCGCAAGCCCCGCTTCCTCGGGTGGATCCGAGAGTGCCCGGGAGCCCAGAAGTAATGTAATTGTAAACTTAGAAGTATGTGCCCCTGATATGGACCCTTTGACTTGTTTGCGGGAGTTCTAGGGACCCTTAAGAGTCTATATAGGGTATATAGTAGGGATATAAGGATCCCAGGGTTCAGGGGGCCCATACTAGGGGCCCATGGTTTCAACCGTTGAGTGATGTTTTTGAACCTTCCCATTTTTGGAGGTTGAGGGTTCGGGTTTGAGGACCGAGGAAGGAGGATTTTCTGTTGTGAGACGGGTTAGAAATTAGGAAATTGAGGGGTCAAGTTTGGGGTCCGAGGTCCTCAGGGTTAGGCTAACGGTTAGGTCTTTCGGCTACCCATGCTCCCGACTTCGAGACTGTGGAGGGTTTCGCAGGGTTTAGTTTGTTTCAGTGAGAGTAAAGTCCATCATGCAAGCCAGTGAGCCCGTCAGCCGAGAAGGATGGCCATTCTGAGTAGCCACTTGAATCACGTGTGCGAAAGCGGATTATGATGGCTTTTGTTTAAGTATGTTTGGGTGCTTTTTCTGGGTCCCTATCGCGGTGTGGTCGAGCCGTTCGTAATCAGAACAATTTTTCGCTTAAAGCCTCGGATGCCAAACCCCAAACCCTAAGCTGTTCAGGGTACCTTGAAGGCCCTAGGAATCAGGCTTCAGACCGACTCAGACCTTGTAAAGAATCCTATTTCCTAAATTCAAGACCCTGAGAATAACCCATATCCGAAGCCTTAAACCCCAACATAGCGTCTATGTTTGGGTTGCGTGTTCTCTAATGCTCCCTAAAGCCTTAGCCTTAAAGCCTAAACACGAAACCCCACGCCCTATACCCCAAATCCGAAGCCCGAAGCCTTAAGCTCTAACCCCCGAGCCCGAAACACTAAGCCCAAACCCAGCTTCAGCCGACTGGTCCCAGGCAGGTCGGGCTCTGAGGGCCCTCTTCCAGAAGCGAAAGGATTGGTCGATGTGGGGTTTCTGGTTTAGGATTTGGGGCTTAGTGTGTAGGGCTTGGGATTTAAGGTTTAGGGTCTTGGGTTTAAGGTTTAGGTAGGGTCTAGGGTTTAGTGAAAGAGCTAAGAAGTCCAGGGCTTTCTTGTTTAGCGGTGCAGGGTTTAGCTGAGGGTTTAGGAGTTTCGGGTTTAAAATATCGGTTTTACAAGTGTGTTATGGGATGCTTGTCTCTCATGTTCGTAGCTTGTGGGTTGAGAGAAGGGCTGCCCAATCCTGAACAAGCCCTAAACTCCGTAGTCCCAGACCTCTAAGCCAACAAAGCCTTCATTAAACAATGCTGCAGTCTTGAAGTCGTGGCTGGGTCCGCTTTCCTGTGCAGGCCTTTTATTATGATTATCCAAAATGCATTGAACTGAGCGGCTCAGGTTTAGGGTTCAGGTTCAGGGGGTTCAGGGATTCAGGGGGTTCAGAGTGTGGGGTCTCGGGTTTTGGGTTTGGGCTTAGGGTTTAGGGTTTTGGGTTCCTGCTAAATCCACATCTTTCGGTCTACACCGTGGGCTTTAGGGCTTGAAGCTCGCCCTTCATGTGAAGCCCTGATGTAGGGGTCTCGTATGCTCCTCAGATATTGCGACTTTAGTCTTCAAGCCCCCTACCTGAAACAACTCTAGGTCCCTGAATCCGAAGGCCAGATAAACCCGAAACTCCACAATCTAAACCCGGAAGCCCTAACGCCTTAAACCCTAAACCCTAAGCGAGTAGCCCGGCCATAGTTTGGAACCCCGCTCTTTTCCAGTTTCCAGCACACCTTAAGTATGAAGCCTTCCGGAAGTCAAATTGCGATTCGTGCAACAGGAAGAATATCCTGCTAACATGTAAAGAGATGCAGAGCATTCCTCAGCTACTTCTGTTGCGGGTGGCACTTGAGAAGATCTGAGTCCTTAGTGGATAGCCCAAAGAACCACGAGACGGGGTTTGGGCTTCAGAAGTTTAGTGGTCAGGGAGTCTGCGATTCAGGGGTTAGGATTCAGGGCTTTAGGGGTTCAGGGTTTTAAGCGCTCAGGGTTTTGGGTGTGTCGAAGTTTAGGGCTCTGGGTGTTTAGGGCACAGTGGGTTGAGCCGAGTTTCGAAGTTGGGCCTGTAGAGCAGCGTTTTCGTTAAACCCTAAACCTCACCTCAAATCCGAAGCCCTATACACCAAACCGCTGAAGCCAGGAGCCCGGCCCCAGTGACGCTGACACGGCGGCTTCCGCCAGACTCTGAGGGTTGCTGTTTCTTTCCTCGAAGGGTTTGGCTTAAGGGTTCAGGGTTTAGGGTTTCCGGTTTAGGGTTCAGGGTTTTGGGGTTTGGGATGATATCTGGGTTTCTATGAGGGTTGCAAAAGGGTTCCTGCGAGAGCTTCTGCAAAGGCAAGGGCTCGCAGAGGCACCAAACCCTTAAGTCAAGGAATTTTATGTCAGTTTATGCCGCTAAACCCAAAACCAAGTTGTAGGCAAATTGTAGGTATATCCCTACGAAGCACCAGGGAGATGACCGATGCGTCCCGACTTTTGGAAGCAACCAGCAGGGTGTAGCGAGATGCCGCCCGCTGGAAGAGCTCAGGATAGATTCCAGCGAAGTGCCGCTGCGAATGAGCGGCAACGCCCACAAGGCTGGACTGCGCTAACATCTAGCATAGGAGCTTCACTGCGGAGTGCGAGTTCATGTGCCCACGCTCTTATTGCACTTGCGATGTAATGGTTGCCACAATCCCTATTCCGATAGCTCAAGCCCGCACCCACAAACGTGGGTGACGGCTCAACACCGGGTAGTGCGAGTTGACCTTGCAAAAACGTAGCAATGAAGTTTTTCCATGTGCTTCAGCTGGCGTGCCTCGTGTTTTCCTCAGCGCCGGCGATGAAAACGTCAGCTTTCTCCAGATCCACCCCGACCGACATGGAGGCGGAGGCCATCAAGAAGGGCATGGAGAAAGTGCTTCTGGAGAATGCAGAAGAGGAGATGAAAGAGCTCAAGGATATGCCGGACCCTGAGGAGGAGTCGAAGGAAGATGACCTCGAGGGCATGGCCAGTCTCGGCCGGAACCTGGAGTTCATGATGCTGAAACTGGCCCAGCTGGAGACGATTGTGGAGCTCCAGCAGCTTCAAATCAAGGACATGAACGAGTGGAAGAATGGATGCATGTGCGGGGAGCATAACGCCACCCAGCCGCGGCCGAATACCTCCGAGCTGCAGTTGGCCGCAGAGGCCCATGCCAGGAAGGCGGGGGACACGCTCAAGAACGTTTTCCAGAAGCACCAGCACCAGCGCAAGACGGGCAACTTCGCGAAGCCTGCTGCCGAGCGGCAGCCGCCGCAGCCCGCACCGCAACCACCGCAGACGCCACCCACAGCAGCCAAGACAGCGCTGCTCCAGCGCTCAGGGCAGCGAAGCGAGGAGGGCGAGGAGGAGCAGTCCTTGGACGATGCCGTAAGCTCCAAAGCTTTTCGCATCTTCACGTCGGGGACGGGCATGATTGGTGACGCGCTGGGTGAGGCCTACGAGAAGGCCAAGGATCCTGTCGCCTTCGTGCAAAATACCGTCATCGACACTGTGGAGATGGCCGTGGACATCCTGTCGAAAGGCTTCACTCAAGGGTAAAAGGAGGGACCATTAATGAGGACCCCTAGGTATATACCCTTAATACAGCGATTATATACCCCTTATTTAGCCATTATAGAAAGGCTTCACAGACTTCAAAGCCGGCTGCGGCAACCCCTGGGTCCACCCGAGCGTGAAGGTGGACGAGGATGGCATCGGGGTAAACTTCGGCCGGCAAAGGCTGGGCTGCTGTTAAGGAGCTTAATTTAAGTTACCATAGTAGGGTTTTGTAGTAAATAATAGGGGTTCTTAATTCTGGTAACTTAATTTAAGTGTAGCACACACTTGTTTGTGCGAAGTGACAATTTCATATCTCACCATAACACCGAATCGGTCTGGGGATTGACTCAACGATTCCTTCGAACTTATGCGTACTCCGTGGCCATTTTGGCATAAGCTTCGAAAGCTTGAGAAATTTTGTTTCAGTTCCCCTCGTATCACTCCTCGGGCAATAGTCCGCTGTTGGCGGCCAATACTTCGAGTTCTACTACGACCGCTGCTAGCGGCCAGTACTTCGAGCACTACGACTTCTCTGTCTGTTGTGGACAGTCTGAAGGAATCGCTCGAAGAATTCAGCCGCGAACAAGTCCTTGAGGACTTCCAGATCGAAAAGCCTGAGGATGTGAGTTGGGGAGCCTGGAACAAGCGACAATCCCGACAGATTCGGAAGACCGTCGATCAGATCGCCCAGTGTCGAACAGGCGACGACATTGTGAACCTGGCGGTGACCCTTTTGAAGCCGCTCAACCTCGAGGCCTTCCTCTACTTGCACATCACCAACCGCGACGACTCCGACGAGCCCTTGACCGTCTCCTTCGACATCGTCGTGTCTTCGCCACACCCCGACACAGAACATGCTCCTTTGCCCCCGGAGACCGAAGCAGCCCTTCTTGTACATGAGACTGCTTTGCATAATCAGCATTTAGCAGAGATCTTTCGCGATGAGATTTTGGCATTGAACTACCTAATCCCGAACCCGCTGCCTCTCCAGCTCGCGAAGGGCATCTTAAGCCTGCAACTTCGAATATCATCGACTTGGATTAGGAACATCCCAGCCATGGCTCAGCAACGCGCAGACTCCTGGTTTGACTTCCTTTGCGAGGGCACTACGACAAACCTCGTGGCTCCGGTACCCGGACTCCATGCTCGCAGATTACCCCGAACAAGCTCGATCTGGCAACAGGGTCCCGGTGAGCGACATAAACCGATCGGTGTGTCCCCGCATGTTGGAATCCAAGAATTGCAACACCATCAATTGTCGCCACTTGCACCCCGACTTTCTCAACGAGGTCTGGGTTGTCCCCGACTTGATTTGCCACAAGTGGTTCCAGACTACGGCGACAGGTGCTGGAACCAACACGGTTTCACTTTCGATGCAGCAATGCGACGAGCTCTCCCGATTCAACGCCAACTTCGGCGGGACGAACCTCCTTACCACTACTCGTCAAAGGGTGGCTTCGTCCAGCAAGTCAACCGGGCCCAGGCACGCGAGTGGATTGAGAAGTCGATGGCTACCTTCCGACACACTCAAATGCGAAAGTTCAAGTTCGGCACGAACTTTTCTAAGTACTACGACTTTGAAGCCTGCAACAACTCTGCAGCAGCTGCCCAACTTCGAGAAGACTTAGCCGAGGGTCGCCTCCGGGCTGTCGCCTTGACGTGACCGCGATGATTCGAGACCGGAGTCCCGGTTTCCACCGGCATCCTCTACCTCGGCGGCATCCTCGAGTAACCCGACGGCACCGGAACCCCGCCGGCCATTCTTTCAGACCAAAATTGACACGGACTCCGATGCGCCCAGCTTTGGAGGATCCTCCCGGCTTTTTCCGCCACGGCGATGGAGCAGGAAGGGAGTCTCGCAGGGCCCTGTCTCCGGCCCAAGTTTCCACGACGGGCAGTGTTGCCTGCTCAACGATGGCTCGGATCCACCCCGATTATCACCATTGTCACCCGACCCGTGGCAGGAGGATGATGACCGAACAGTCCACACGACACCTCCGACTACGGCGACTATACACCGACCTCGGCTGCTGCTCCTTCGACTGCGTCGATCCCTACAGCGGGGGAGACTTCGAGTGCGTGGGATGGCGAGTGGATCAACCCCGAATTTGGTGGCATGGTACCTGTGAGAGCTATGCCGAGGACACCGCCCATCCAACTGGATGTGGGCAACCCGACTGGAGCGAGCTCGTCCCACACGCCGAGATTTTCGGTGCATTCGGCGGTGAACCACAACAGGATCCTCGACAAGCATTTGTCTCCCCGACACCATCGACTGTGACAGCAGCCACTTTTCGACCATCGCGACACAACCCATGAATCCATACACGAATGTGCCATCGGAGGTCCAACCACGTGCACCACCACAGTACAGCCCCGATCGCTTCCGCGTGACATGGCGAGATTCTCGGGTGGTTGACAAGGGGAGGACATCGAATCCATCGACACCGCCGGCGCCGGTCTTCGGATTCCAGACCCTTCGACACTTCGACAACTTGCCGGTGCTAGCCCCGAACCTGAATGCCATGAAGCAGGTCGGCGAATACAACGTCGCGATGTTGCCTCCGGGCAACCACCCCTACTCCGCAATTGGCTTCGACCCACCGTGGGAAATCACGTATGATGGCATCCTCTACAGTACATCGAACAGGTGCTACGATGCCCCACTTTCGGGAGCTATCTGACCAACTTTGGCCTGTACATCGATCTCCCGATCCACACACCACAGGACGACGTGCTGCAGGAACGTGTCTTACTTCTGGGGGTGCCGAACAACTTCGTGGATCCACGAACAACGTTGACATATTCAACAATTTGGCACAACATCACGGCCTCCCTCGCCGATTTGCACCACGCATCGGTCGAGGAGCGTCTGAACAGACTTCGAATGTGGTGCCACACGGCGCATAAAATTTGAACCACTTCGCTGGACAGATACCATACCTCGAGCCGATGACCACTTTCTTCCGGGAACAGGCGTCCGCTATCCTCGCTTGCACATCGAACATGCTCTCTCCTGCGATGAGAAGTGCATTCACACAGCACGAGAGGATGCGGAACATCATCGCGGCTGAGCCCCCGGCCTACCACAGTATCTGCGATTCCGGGACTGATCCCCGACTGTGACATCGCATGATGTCACGATGGCCGTGTACAGGCTTTGACTTTTACGATGTGTTGTGACCCCGTTTCCGCCTCAGCGATGTACGGCGGACCACATTGTCTCGACGACTTTGGGCCGACGAGACTTCCGCCTTGGCGATGTGTCCCCAAGAGCTCGACCCAATGTTACCCGAAGTCAGACTCCGCTGTTACCCGACAAATACTGCCTTTCTGCCTCAGCTTTCACATGTTCTTCTCATGCGGATATGCGGTAGGCTCTGCTAGTTGTAGCGGGGCCTCCTCTCTCCTTGGAGATTGCGTGGCTTCTGTAGCTTGTACCCCCTCAAGCCGATTAGCTCCCCTATTTGACATCCCGACTGACTGGACGTGATGGCAAGCCACCGTCAGTCCCCGATGGATGTGGATCTCATCGAGCAATTCCCAGACACCTCGAACCCCGGCTCCGATCCCATCGAACAGTTCTCGCAAGAGCCCAGTCGTGGATCTGGGGCGGTTTTGCCCGCTGCACGATACCTCGAAGGGGTCGACCCGGACAGGCTCTACGACGGCTACACGACACAGGGAGCTCTCGAGGTCATCGCTTTTAAGCGTGCTTCCGAAATGTCAGCGATGACAGCACTGCGACGACAGTTTCCAAACTCGTCCGACTCCGAGCTCGCCCTGATCTGGTGCCGCCAATTTACTGGAGAAGACGTCGACGACGACGGTTTACCCGTCGAGCTCTTGGTCGCGACGGATCGTCCATCGAGGACCAGCACCGGAAGGACGTCGATCGAGTCGAGATGTACCTGAAGTACTTCAGTGCCCCTGACACCGACAAGATTCACGATGGGTCCGTCGATTGGACCTTTTGTGGTCGCCTCTTCCCGATCTACTACCTTCTCTCGATCAATCCCGACGGCGAAGATGATTGGCGGAATGTGCACTACCGCTGCTGTTATCAGTGCGCGACGGGTGCCAACGAGAACTTCGTGTGGTACGCCGAGAACTCCGACTTGTCCCCGGCCAAGGTTGGGCTCCGCGGCAACATCCGCGATCGCCGCTATGATCAGACCGATCGCAGAAGGCTCTACGACCGCGACGACGACCACGATACCAAGCCTCCTGGGTGGCACATCGCGATCGAGAGGACGCACAATTATATACTTCTGCAAGGTCTACTTCGACAACCACTAGGACACAGCACGATGCCGGTGGGTGCGCAAGCCGATCTTCGTACGCAAAGGGTCAACCCGAGCCGACACCATTGGCATCCCCGATTGGTACAGCATCTGCCAGAAGGTCAACGCCGTCCGAAAGCGACTCAACCAGGATACTGCGAGGCAGCGAAGCGCATCATGGAAGCAGATGTGCGACGAGATCGAAAGAGAGCGACCCCGCGAATCCAAGTCGAGCGTTCGCCGAGAGGTCCGGGCGAGGATCCTCCGTCTCACCGACATCTTTGTCGCCGATCTCGCAAGGCAAAACTCGATGCTTCGCAGAAAACTCGAGTATTCAAGGCATTCGCCGAGTGGGAGCAGACAACGATCGCCCGAGCCATCGATCCCAACTGGGACGCCGACCAGTTTTAGAACATGGTGAGCAACGAGGCGCCACTCACCGATTGGCTTTTCAAAGTCTCCGCCTCCGACAGCATCGATCAGCACCTCGTTTGCAGGTCGAGAGAGTGTACCTCGGTGATCCACAACCACCATTGGCTCCGACAGATCTCCTGGGACTATACCCGATTAATTAACTCCCAACACGGTCGTTATTCATGCCCGAGGTGTCTGACGACGTACTTACATCGGATGGGGGCGACTACATGTTGTATCTCATGGAGTGGGAGCGCAAGGACGACGACGCCCTGGTGGGCAAGCTCAAACAGATCATGTCAGGCCTTCGAAAAGACTTGGGAGACGGCGACATCCGCGACAAGCTCACCGGTGCTCCGCGAGATGAACAAATGAAACACCAGAAGTTGGAGTACTTCGAAGCAGTCACCTGGACCACTCCAAACATGATGGACATCTTGAATCGGAACCAAATGACCAACAAGAAGTATTCGCCGACGTACT